CTCCGACGAAACAGTTTGTCACAGCCCCTCGTTTGTTGTCCTCTTCTCTCTCTCTGCCTACGGTTTACCGGGCAGTTCTGTTTGTGACTATATAGAATCTTGTTTGCTTCGATTCCGGTTGGCCTTGTCCCGTTATTTGGTCTATCTTAGGGAGGGATGGCGGTGCTTCATGTGGGATTGGTCATCTGGTTATCGTTTTGCAGGCGAGTGTGTTTTGACTTGGTGCTGTCCCGTCGTTTGGCCTGTAGTTGGCGGGGGCGGTGCTTGCATGTGGGACTTGTCATCTAGGATTGTCATTTAGGATTTGTTTTAATCTTGTCTGCTTCAAATTTGTTATTGGGCTTCCTGGTTGGTTGTTTCCCGTTGTTCGGCCTTTTGAGCGCGGGGCGGTGCTTGTATGTGGGAATCGTCATCTGGGATTGTCTTCTTTTTAGTTGTCACACTGTGATCAAGGGCGCAGGAGCCTTTCTTTATTTTCTTTGTAGATAAGAATGTTTTGATATCCTGGTTGGTCTCGTCCCGTCGTTTGGCCTGTGAGTTGCGGGGCGGTGCCTGCATGTGGGACGTGTCATCTGGGATTTGTTTTGTTGCCCCCTGTTCTGTATTATTTGGCTGTTCCCTTCCTCTTTTCTTTGCCTCTTTGCCTTCTGGCTGTGTGCAAGTGGGTCGATATGACACACGGGGGTGGGGGCAGCCGCCGCTCAACCTACATCCACGTGGGCGGCCTTGTACGCAAGAGGTTCTGAACAGGGGGAGTTATAAGGAAGAAGATAAAAAAATGAAATTAATATTCCCTGGTTTTCCTTTCTCCTTTTTTCTCTTTTTTTCGCATTTACGCTCTGAATTCTTGTGACAATATATATGTGACAGCCCCTTGTTTGTTGTCCTCTTCTCTCTCTGCCTACGGTTTACCGGGCAGTTCTATTTGACGATATATACTAAAAATAGGATAAAATCAATCAAATGATTCATTCAGTGATTTAATTTAATTATTCAATTAATAGAATTCAATAATTCTCATTATTGACAATAGAATAAAAATATAACCATGTCAATCTATAAGTAATTGAACTCACACCCAAAAACAAAAAATTAGAAAAACAATATAATTGTGACGATATATAGGGTTCAGCCTCCTGATGAGTCGGTGAAACTCTGACGAAACAGTTTGTCACAGCCCCTCGTTTGTTGTCCTCTTCTCCCTCTCTGCCTACGGTTTACCGGGCAGTTCTATTTGACGATATATTTGCTGCTGTTGGAGATGAGCCTGAGCAAAGGTCTTGTCCCGATCATTCTAAGCTGGTGATGGTTGTCTCAAAATGGCAATTGGTCATCCAGACTGCGGAGCGAAATAAAGTCTCGCCCATTGAGGGACTCGATATTGTTGTATTGTTGCATACATTTGAGCTGTCTATTTCTCTTTGCCTGGCCACTGTTATGGTGGGGCTGTGTTTTGTGTACCAGGTTTGGCCAGCCGATTAAAGTGAACTGGGCGTATGCAAGCGGTCAGCGGGAGGATACGTCAGGTAGGAGTTGTGGGAGACACTCCGTAGTCTGTTTTTTTTTTTTTTTTTTCTTTCTTTCGGTTCCTGCTACCGCACTCTGCTGCAGTGCAATACAGAGGCAGCACTGGAGTCGAGTAAGCATGCGTGCCCGTGACACCCCTCCGCAGCCCAGAAAAAAATAAAAAATAATATCGTGTTGTGCAATTGTCTTTTTTTTTCTCTTAATGGAAGAAAGGGCGTGCGTTAAGATATCATCAGTTGGTCGGACCGGCCCTAAGTAATTCAGAATTGCAGTTTTTTTTCCCCATCTGCTTGTAGTTGATTTCGGACTCAGGTCTGTATTTCAACAGTTCAGGGGTGTACCAATCCAACTGAGAGGCTACCGTCTTCACCTGAATAGAACGCCCGGTAATTATCGCGGTATCTGGGCTGAAAGTCGTGCCAAGAATACAGCTGTAATGACCGTGCGTTCTATTCGGGCGAAGACAGTAGTTGGTAATCTGTTTGCTTGTAAGCATTTGGATCACGAAGTCGTGGATTGACATCTTGGATGGAGTTTCGTTTTCTGAAGTTGTGAAAGCCCTTATCCATGAGAGATTGCTGCCTGTGACTGATTTTGGGCTCCTTAGTGGTGGCCTCACCTTGAATGCTCTTGACGAATGGTTTGTTTGAGTTTCGTTGTGTGAGTGTTCTCTACCTTTTTTTTGTTTTGGTACAAGTGTTTTGGTAATAATTGCGTCCGTAGGTGTTGTTGTTGTGTGATGTCGAGGGGATCTGTGACTCTTTTATCTGGTTGTTGGTTTGCACAGGGCATTACAACATATTCGTGGGGGATTTGAGCCCCGAAGTCACGGATAGCACCCTCTATGCAGCGTTCTGCGTGTATGGAAGCTGCTCGTAAGTTCAATCCTACACTGATCATGGATGCCGTTATGCAGTTGTTGATTCAGTGAAACAGTTTGTTTGTGTACCGGCCTGTCTACCCTTAGCCTACGATGCCCGTAGGCTGTTTGAAAAGATGAAGAGATTGACAACCCTTGGCCTACGATGCAGCACGCGACGATTGCTGTCGCGTGCTCATAATTAATTTGAGTTTTCTGAATGCGTTTTGCCAAAGTAACGTGTGTATGGTCGGTGAACTTGTTGTTGCTTATCATTTGTTCATAACTAGCGGGGTAGAACAAACACCTGTGATGGCGAAAACGACCCTGTAACGGATTTGAAAGGTCGTAGCTGGTTGCGAGTAGCCGAAGAAAAGAACAGGCAGACACTAAACGGAGGCTTCCATCATGTAACCGACGTCTCCACGACCTGCCTCGAAAAAGACTGTTCTTGATGTACTTGTTCTTTCCCCCCTTCGTGTTTTTTTTGCATTCACGGCCGTCCTGCACGGTTCTGAATCTTTGCCTTGCCCATAATCTCGAGCCTCGCACCGTTGAATTAGAGGCGAGGGAAAGAAGAAGGAGAGAGAGGGTGGTGGAGGGATCACTTCTCATTTTGAAGCTCGTCTGCCGGATATGTTCCTGCAGCGGATCTTCCTGTATATGCATCCAAGGTTTCACCTTTGCCTTGCCCATCATCTGGAACTCGCACCCCTGAATTGAAGAAAAGGGAATCTGAAAGAAAAAGGAGAGGGTGGTGGTTGAGGGGCTGCTTCTCATTTTTGAAGTCTTCCGGCCTGCTGGGCATGCTCCTTCAACGGATCTTTTTCCGGTATATGGTTATCTAAGGTTTCTTTTTTTGTTGTTCCTGTTCGGCATCGTAGTAGGTATGCTGTGGTCGTCGCTAATTTTTTTCCTCCACGTGTTCTTAATGTCCTGGTCTTTTTCAGTGATTAAATGAAACTAGGCACGTGTGGGCGGTGCACTGGTTGGTGTAGGGCACTAGAAGGTTTATTTCTGGGCGGCTTTTCCTATTATGGATCTTTTGTACTCGTACAACTTACCACCTTTTTATGCCAATAAATACACGCATCAGGCTGATGCCCGCATTGATCATGAGTAGAACGTAGGAGCACTGCATGAATAAGGCAATGCACGTTTAAGTATTGACTGACCAGGGTCTAAGAAGTGTCAGTTTGTTGTCGGAACTACTTTTGTTGCTCCTGTTGTTTCGTTGTGTGGTTCTTTTGCTTGGATTCTTGGTTCTGTTGTTTCATTAGCCGTTTGCGGTTTCTTGTTCAAGTGTGTAATTCTGTCGGTGACTGAACTGATAAAACTTTTTGTCCTCCTTTCTTTGGCTGGTTTCTACGAGTCCGCGGAGCACGTGTTGATACGAGTAGTTATCCTGTATCGTCAGATATTTGTGAATATGTTCCGTCAGTAATCAAACTATTTGAACCTGTTATTCTCTGGCCATTGTGTGTACTCCTGTGATTTGGAACTGCGAATCACATTCTGATGTCGATAGGCCTGCTTCATCAGATAGGTCTACTTCGTACTTGCCGGTCGTGGCCTGTATGAAGCAAATGGTAGACGATTCGAGAACTGTTCTTTGTCTCTCGCTCGTGTGATTCGAAACGGTTTGTCACACCTTTGCTTCTTGTCCTACAGAGTGTCGAAGACCTATGAAAACTGCCGGCGTGTTGAGGTGCTAGGTTCTCCATTCGGTGTAATGCAGGGTAGAAGATGGGACAGTTGATTCTGCTAGTATGGGTTATATGACGCCTACCGTTCCTTTGCAGATGCATGTGTGTGTAGATATAATTGACTGCTCTCGTGGACAGGCTACAGAAACGGTGATCACGAAATCTACAGACAATGTCCACGGAATTTTTTCTATGTGTATTAGGTAGAAATGATCTCTCTTATAGGTAGTCTTTCTCCTTGTGCAGTTTTGATGTTTGTATGTGCTTTACGTACTGATGATGCTTGTGTTCTAGTTACTGATGATGTTTCTATGTGTAGCTAGCAATGGCCACGTGGACAGGTAGTTTTGTCTGCTTGTATGTCCACGTACTGGCAAGATAGGAGCCCAGATTCTGCACGTAGACCCGTCGGAGAGGCTGTACTTTTGTAATGCGCAGGGCCTCATAGGTGCTGCTGTTGTCTTTCGCGTTGGAAGTGTTTCTGTGCTTTTTACCGGGGTATGAACGAGTGGTTTATTTTTGGAATTATTTATTCATGAATTTTAACTTACCTTTTTTTTCTGCTCACATTGTTTATTGTTTTCTTTTTGTTTGCTTTTTAATTTTTCGTTTTTTTTTGTTTTGGGCAGAGATGCTCGGGTCATGTGGGACCAGAGGTCTGGGCGATCGAGGGGCTTTGGCTTTGTTTCCTTTAGGTTGCAGTCGGTGAGGATCCTTGTACTCACCCTGGATTTCGGAGCAAGCAAGCAAATACATTACATAAACTAAAAATGATCAGAACATGAATCAGAAACCTGTCTTTGTGCATTTTAACCAATCAATTATCCTTCTTCTCCGCACCTTCTCTGGAAACGCTGGTCAGCATAAATATTTTCAGAAATCTGTCCTCTGTTTCTCTTTGCCTGACGCGAAATTTCTCACATCCTGCATGCCTTCTTAAGAGCGATGTGTAAGGGTAGGTGAGGAGGTTGCCTTCTGCGGTTTCTCCTGCCCTCTTCTTCGTTCTTTCTCTGACCCTTGTCTAACTTGCAATGATCTCTTCCCTTTTGCCTTTCTCCACATTTTGTTCCGTGAGTGCACGCCAGTGGTATTTTATATAACTAGCCTGTTCTCTGTCTGTATCTTCATTAATACCTTCTGGATGGACCCATCAGAGAAAACCCGATAGCTTGAGGGAGGGCCTGCTGGCCTGTCCTCTGGTGTCCCGGACGGTGGTGGGGTTTCTGCTATGCGGCTCTCTTGCCAATATGCCTCCGTTGTGCATATGGAGCTTTTATGAACCCAGCAAGAGGTGGAGGTTTGCTTCTCCACGAGTTCACTCGCTCCAGGAAAATCACGAAGTGGATGTTCCTGTCTTGTGTGGGGAGCTTGTGGGTGCACTCGGTCGACCATCTGGGGTTCGTGCAGCAAAGAGAGGAGATCGACATAGCTTCAGAATAAACGCCACCGTTTAGTGTCTGTGATGTGCGGGCGTTGTCCTCTTGAAGGTGTTTCCTCGGTAGCTCCAAGATTCTTTACGGATTCTTTACATTCTCTGCCCTCTCCGTCTTTGAAAGGTATATTGACGCCATGCGCTGTGCATTGTTATGTATTTGATTTGAGGAGGCCCTGTCTCAGAACCTCTGCGGCTCCACACTTCCGTCGTGGAGGGGAGACGCAACAAAGACTGAGTGCTCCGTTGTGGAGGGGAAACGCAACAAAGACTGAGTGCATTCCGGTGTAGCATATGGTGTGTTTCGGTGGACGATTGGCTCTATGTAAGAAATGTGTCATCGGATTTGGAGCTCAGTTGCTTGTCACCTCTAGATTGTGATGGGCAGAGCGAGTTGGCGGTTTGTTGGTTTATTATTTCAATAAATTTGCATGCAATGATTCCCCACCCACCAATCAATAAGTGGTCTTGGTGTTGTGGCTCTTTGAGCTTACGGCCAACAATGATTCGCCAAGTCGGTTGCGGACTGCAACTGAGAATCCGGAGTTGCCATACACCGTGAAGCACAGAGGCTGACGGGAGTGCACACCAAAGTGGCAGCTTCAATCGGTCAGAGCCTGCTCGCACCAAAAGAGTAGGTAGATCTCACTTTTTTTAATCTGTCTGGTAAAGATAGGCGATAACTGGACATCGTGAAAAAAGAAAGAGTCAGTCTACAGAGCTGGAGTTCTCTCAAAGTTTGCTTTAAGTAGTCCGCTTGGGGGCACGTTTGTGACCTGACCTATTTGGAAATGAAGGAAAGTCTTTCCAAGGCTCTCTTTTCCATTGCTTGTGGACGTGCATGGTGTTTCATTTTCCTTGTTCTTGTTATGCGTCCGCACTCTCCTTGCCTTGCGTACGTCTAGTGTTTCGTTTTCCCTGTTTTTGGTATGCCTCCCGACTCCCATTGCCTTCCTGATTATTGGCACCTGTTTTTGTTGGAGTGTGAGCATATCTGTTTTGTTTTGTTCCCTAGTATGGTAGATTTTCAGTGGGGGTGGAACATTTGTCTGAATGTTTCCCGCTTTTCTTTAGGTTTATGGTATGGCATTTAAGCGTGGAGATCTTGGCAGTATCGCTTTTGACTTTGTTGGACCGTGGTTTGTTCTGTTCACATGCAGGATGCGGAAAGCGCCATTCAGGAAATGAACGGTAAGTACGTTATTTAAATCATACAGATGCTGCATCAAATTGCCTACAATCTGGCATCACCGTATGTTGAGGGGTGGTCTTTTCTTGTTGAGCAAGAACTGGCCAGAAAACTAAAGCTTTAATTCTTCAATGTGACTTTTATATTCCTTGACATCTGGCTTTTATATTTGTTGCTGTGTGGGTTTTATTTTCCTCTGGTTTCCTTTTATGTTCTTCCATGTATGGCTTTTATATTTCTCCATTAGTCGGTCATATCATTAGGCATGACTTGGTGTTCTGTTTCCCAGTCGGTCGTTTCGGTAGTTATGACTCTGCTTCTGGACTTATTTATGACGTTTTGCATGCTGTTCTGTGGGACTCTGTCGACCTGTGACAGGCAAATGGCTTGGTAGCCGCCCAATTCGTTGCAACTGGGCTACAAAGTCAAATACGGGGCAGCCTGAAGAGCAGAAAGTCAACAACCAAGGGAACAGCAATGGCAATGAGCAAGTCCAAGGTTGTTATCGTAATATCTGATGTGTTGATCCTTGCAGTCATTATTCGTGTGCCTGTTTTGTTTATTTGGTCGATTTCATCTAACGAATTGCCCAAGAACACGATGTTAGGTTAACTGGTGGTGTAGATGATGTTAATTTCTGGAGAATGGATATTTGGTGCTTTGGTTTTCCTTTCGTGCTTTGGATTAAGGAAGTTTTAAGGACTTTGCCAGTATCAACTGGAACATTCTGATGCATTGACGTTTGGAAGTGTGAAAATCTGAGTTACCCGTAGTGATCTTGTGGACCGATAGTGGGGAGAGGAGAATGGTCGACAGGGGGGATGGAATGCTGCAATTTGGTAGGGGGGAAAAGTGGGTGGAAGGGGTGGGGTATAAAGTCGTTAAAATGATAAGAGGGAAGGGGGAATCTAGAGTGTGGGGACAGCATTGCAAGGTTAGGAGGGCGGAGAGGTGGGAAGAGGTAGCTAGCAAGTTGTTGTAGGGGTCCGGAATGGCTGTGTAGGGGTCTCGGGGAGTGTAGATAAAAATGGCAAATTTGACCTGGGTGGGCAGGAGGGCAAAACTGCAGGTTGGGGAAAAGCAAGAGGGTATCACAACAGGGGGAAGAAAGGAAACATTGTAATTATGAGAGAGGATAAGGGAGGTGGGAGAGAGAGCCTTATTGATTCCCCACCACTGCCTCTGCCCAAAAACATCACTTTTATAGGTTTAAGTTGTTCAACTATGAAGTTTGGCCGGGGTCGAACATGACGGCCTGAACGGCAGAATGTTTGGGACCCCTGGTGCAGCGTTAGACAGAATGCGAACTTTATTGAATTTTTAAGAAATTTTAAATGTTTTATTACTGCTTTGCTTTTTTTTTATTATGCTGAGGGGGGGCCATTCTTTGCAATATATCTTTTCATTAGAAAAACAATTCAAGACAGCGGTGCAGTTTGCCTGCGGAAATAGCAGCAACCCCGTCCTGTAGTGCACGCGCTTGTGTGTGTGTGTGTGTGTGTGTGTGTGTGTGTGTTGATCAACAAGTCAGTGGATATCGTTTTTTGTTTTTTGAACGTTTTCCTATATGTTGAAATGAATGATTGATTGATTGATTGATTGATTGTTTGACCCCTTGCCCTGTCCGCAAACACTCTCGTACACACACGCACAGGCGCACATGCACACACGGAACACACTCACATGAACACACACGACGTACACACACGACACGCACGCACATCCTCAGACTAGTTTTCTTTACTTACTGTTTCTTCTCAGGGGTTTGGACTCACCGTCTGCTAGGATTGCAGGGTTGGTGTGAGTAAAAGTCGGCCACTTTCCCCAGGAGTATCAATAACCCCCGGGTCATGTGGCGAGTCCTTATCCCATCAGTCGTGCATCCTGGGCAGACTGTCGAGGTTCAACCTGCTGATAAGTCCGTGAAAGTCCGATGTAACAGTCTGTCACAGTCATGCTTTTTTTTAGTGTATGGCTAAGCTACCAGAGTGGCCCGGGGTCTCTTAGCCGCCTGACCCAAAAAAAATAATAAAGAAAAAAATATATAAAAATAAATAAATAAAAATATAAAAAATAAGAGAATTATGTTCAAAGTTTATTTTTTTATTTTTAAATTTTGTGAAAATTTTCGATGTGACCCTGAGGCAGAAGTTGATCACTCTATTTTTCTGCTTAACACAGTTTTTTTTGGAAAATTTTCGATGTGACCCTGGTCCTTGTACGGGCTGGCCACCCGGGACCCGGGTGGTAGCCTAGGTGTATAACGAATATGAAAACACACATGATCTCTCTCTCTCTCTCTCTCTCTCTCTCTTTCTGACACATGCACGCTCACACAAATCAATTCGGATCGGATTGATGGATTCGATGTGAACCACTTGATCCATCAATCGATTGAGCAATTGGGATCAAATCCATCCAGTGATTGGAATCCTTTTTTTTTTGCTTAACGAAAGAAACACATTCCCTCGACTGTTGTGTGTGCGTGTGTGCACCCCCTCGAATCAATCAACCAATGTGCATGGGGAAAAAGTTTCAACACCCATTCTGATTCGAGTTTTCGTTTTTCTGGCTCAACAGAATCACACGAAAATTTACACAGGTGCAGGTATTGAGTAGCTCTATAAAAAACTGTTAGGTTGTGAAGAGTAGCGCTATGAAAAGATGTTGGGCTGTGAAATGGGCCCCTGCGGGCCCTGTGCTGCTGGTCGGATGGTGCCTGAACCTCATCCTGACCCCGTGAAGGTGGCAGAATTGTTTTTCTGTCGTGTGTCCTGGTCTTTTCATTTTTTCTGTTGGAAAGTCGAAATGAGTCTGTTTCCGCTAATATTTTTTTGTGGAATTGTTTTGCGTTTATGGATTCGTCCAGCTGATCAGCAGGTGGCAGAACAGCAAATAAGAGAAAATCCGGAAGATAGACCCGAGTCGAATGCTCAGTATACAACTGTTTATGTGGGAAACCTTGCACATGAGGTAGGTCACGTTGCTCAATGCGATCTGCGAAAACGTTAATACATATGAACAGACCTAGCATGAGTCGACTCTCGCAAATCTTGGTCATATTCGTTTTTCAGTCAGGTTCTGGGAACCTCATGATGGACCTATAGGCCTGTGCAGTGTAATATGTGATGGATTCATTCCCTGTGCAGTGTAATAGCCTGGGTGCTTTGTTTGGCGATGCACAATTGTTGCTGCCAATGAGTTCCTTGAAACAGCCTGGGCATAACTTAGGCTTCAACAGAAACCTTGTTTCTTCTGTTCAGAGCCCCACCATGTTCGAGGCTGCTTTATACGAGACTTGCCAGTGCTGTTTTACACGAACTTGCTGGTGCTTCCCATTTGTTTTTGGCTGTGGCCCGGAAGCCCAGAATATGCATGTACACTTGTTTGATCAGTTCAAAATATGCATTGTGGTGGTTTGACAGGTCCTTGGTTTCTGAACCCATTTCCATTGTGTGCAGCATCAGTTGGGTTCTTGTAACCTCTTGTTGCAACCGATAGGTTTGATCGATTACTCAGCTGTGCAGTGTAAAGCAGTGGTGCCTTTTGGCCCTCCGCCTGCTCTATATAGGCTCTCCTCGAGTCTCTTCCTATGGTATCTCCCCAAATCTAAGGCGGACATTCTGTCTAAGCTCTCTGTGGTGCGTGCCTGTGCCTTCTGTACCGTTTTTATGCCCTCTGGTGTTCATGCTGCATTATGCTACTTCCTGTCTAGGTGTATGATGCCCTCTTGTCTAGGTATCGAGGCTGTGATCGAGGCTATGGCTAGTTTTCTTGAGGTGACAGAAGCTAACAGCCATCCTGTCATACTGATCCCTACGACCGTTTGAACCTGAGGAGCTATGTGGGCTCATGGGGTAAGTCGGTTTGATAGTAGGGATTGAACCGAAAATGTTCGAAAATGTTGTTACCTGGAAGGAACCATGTGTTTGCTGCCGGGACTCGCAATGCAGTTGTGGTGCAAATACACCTTTTGATTCACTTTCTGTGCTTTGGACAGCAACTTGTCAATACCCAGTGAGCTCCCGTTGTCTCTTTGCATCCGTGCTTCAGATGATTTTGTCCGTTAATATAATGTTTCCTCGCTTTTCTTTTGTGGCACTTGCAGGTCACACAGCACGAATTACACCGGCAGTTCTTGGCACTCGGTGTTGGAGTTATCGAAGATGTTCGTGTCCAAAGGGACAAAGGATTTGGATTTGTCAGATACAGGGCACATGATGAGGCTGCTCTCGCAATCCAAGCTGCAAACGGGCGAGTCATCTGTGGCAAATCTGTCAAGGTAATTTTTCGGACAGGAATGTTATATATCGCTTTCACTTTGTATTGAGCTGTGAACTGCTGGAAGTTATGCTGAAAGCCTTTGGTCTTTGTTGTGATGCGAGGCCTTTATGCCGAATCGGAAAAGCGTTGAATTGGGGGCTTTTCTTTCGGCTTGTCTGTGTGGTTCCTTTGGGGAGCCAGGGTCATAAGGACCTGGTTTTTTCCTTTCGTTTTTTTTTTTTTTTTTTTTTTTTTCTTTTTTTGGCAGCAGTACCTCGGCCACTTTCAGAAAATAGGGAAAAGTAGCCCGACAACGGTGGCTGTTTTGAAACGCTCCCTTTGGGCAGTTTTAGAACTCCTAAAAAGTCGGGGGCTGGGCCCGACAATGGCCGCCGTTGAGCAATGCTCATTGAATAAGAGGTACACTGGCATGCGTGCAAATAAGCATTTTTGGCTTGTATTGATGACAGAATTCTCATTTCGTCAAGGAGTTCCAGAGAGAGTCATTTTTGGTGGGGACTTGTGGCATGGGCTTTTGGGTTTGTGCACCAATGCCTTGGAGAGTACAGCTGCTGTTGGGCCATTCTGTGCAAAGGTTGGCACACAGCAGCAGCTAGTACGAGACCGAGACGCAACGTAAGTTGCTTGGTTCTCCGCGCAGTGTTAACACATTGCGAAAGCTCTTTTGGCCAATTCCTTGCGAAGGTTACTCATAACAAGTCGCAGTCAGTGTTTCCATTAGTTATTTTGATGTCACAGTGGGACCCATACGGTGGTGGCTGTGCTGTCATGTGTACCATCGGTATGAAGATGACATGGCATTCTTGTTTTTGTTGTTTGTCACAAGCTCATCAAACCGCCACTCTAGGAGCGGGTTTTTTGGGGGGGTTGCTGACCGGCAGGCGCAGGCGGGTTCAGTCCTGCAATTCTCAAGTGCTAACTTTGGCCATTTTTTGCGCTCGGAAGAATCAAGAAAAAGAAAAAGAAAATTTGAGATCCTGTAGATTAGGTCGTGATCTTTCCGGGAAAAAATATCAGAAAAATGGAAAAGAACTTTCAGACCATGAGAAAAATGCTGCGCCAATTCGTCACATTTTCCATTTTTGCCGCTTCACAACGTGTGGGTCAACCGAAAACGTGCCCCCACTTCTGCATTTGTTTTGTGGTCAGTAGAATACCTGTAGAACTCTGAAAATTCGAGGGTTAGGTAGTGAAATAAATGCCGTTCCGATTTGTCTCCTTTTCGACTTGCGCTCTATGACTTTTGGGAAAATGGGAGAAGTACCGCAAAATTTCAGCGATTTTTCATGCAGCCGTGAAACAAGTCGTGGTGGCAATTTGTCAAATTTTCCATTGTCATTGCATTGCCGGTTGCCCTCATGAACCTGTGCTACCGGTAGCCCTCATGAACCTGTGCCACTGGTAGCCCTCATGAGCCTGTGCTAATGGTCCCCCGAATTTTTAACGTCGCCTAGATTGTTTTTTTCAAGTGCCAAACTCCCTCGTGCTTACTAGCGTCCTGTGGCCTCAGTCTAGGCAGCCCAGGATGTTTTTGGTCTCAAAGATGTGCAGACTACCATTATTCCCTGGATACAATGTACAGTGATTATGGCTGCGTTTGGGGCAACTTTCAGTCCACGTACAGTCTTGTTGAATGTTTGTTGGCTTCAGCGGATGTGTGCTACCTCATTAGGCGCCGGTTTGCCACTGCGGCCTACTTCCTTAAACATGAGCCCTTTGTGCCGATGAAGGTATATATCTTGTGCGGATCATTGTTATGCTATCATGTGGCATGAAAATTTTGTTTGTTCAACTTCGTTGCCTTTTGTATGCATGAGTTTTGTCGAGATCACATCTTTTTGAGAATCTGCAATCCCGTCTGAAATGAAGTAGGTTCACCACGACGAGGTATTGCATCTGTTTTGTGTGCAACAGTTTTGTTGGCGTTTACAGGCCCACTTGTGAAATGAAATGGTCCTCCACGAAAAAATAATGAGGAAGGTGATTTGCATTAGCAGTTCCTTCAGTGTTGTCTTTCCCAGAACAATATTGAAAGACCAAGCACATTTAATTATTGTTTGAAATGAATGGCATTCACAAGGACCACAACGTGACTGTGATTTTTGCATGCAGTATGGGAAGTGCCAAATCTGTTTTGTTGTGCATTCATAAACTTGTCTGACTGAGGAATCTGACGTGTAGATTGTGGCTTTTGGCGTGTTTGTGGGTGCAGTGCTCATGGGGCAGCAAGCCCACCCCATTCGGAGCATCGTCAGCCCCACTGCCCCCTCCACCTCCGGCTACGCACGCGTATCAGGGACTTGTTGGTGCCTTTAACTGGGGTGGGCTTGTTGCCCCATGAGCGTGCACAGCTCGTCATTCAAAAGGCACTCGGAGCCTACAAAGGGGGGAAAGAAAATTACGGAAAGTGCCGAGTCTGTTATCGTGTGAGGAGTCTAACGTGCAGGTTGTGATTGCTGGCTTGTTTGTTGGTGCAGTGCTCATGGGGCAGCAAGCCCACCCCAGTCGGAGCATCATCAGCCCCTTTGCCCCCGCCCCCTCCTGCGACGCCCACGTATCAGGGTCTTGTTGGTGCGTTGAATCAGGGGTATAGTGCTGCGAATTTTGTGACCTATGGAAGACAACAAGCTGCTGCGTTTCAGGCTGCAGAGGCTACGGCTAGGGCAGCTCTTTTGCCACTGCCCCAACAGCAGGCAGGCCTTGGAGTCGGTGTAGGGCTAGGTCAGGCTGGCATCACTGCTGCTAGTGCCACAGGTGCCATCGCTGGTCGCATCGGGTATGACGGAACGTACCCACAGCAGTTGAACCGGGCCACGATAGATGCACAGCAACGCATTTATTACGGTTAGACCGCCACAGCGTAGTGCCTTTTTTTTGTGAGGAGGCATTTTTGAAACTGCTATTCATAGGTATAGCTTTCTTGGCCGGCTTCCGGCCTTCCTCCCGTCTTTGTTGTGCCTTTGTCAGATTTGTCACACTCCCACTTTCTCTCGAGAGAGATCGCAAGTGCCATCACACTTGCCGCATAAACTGTAGCTGTACTGATGGTTATGGTGTAATGGCCACAGTTCTGCAGTGCTTCTGCTTGTACAATGCGGGCAGTTGTTTCGGCATCCTGCTTTTCATCCATTGGCTACTGAATCGGGCGTTCGTCTGCCCGCCAGAGGTCCTCAGCTCTCTCTTCTTTTTTCTTTGTTTCCTTCGTTTCCCGTTTTCCTGTATCGATTCGATTGTAGCCATGTTCTTGGATGAAGCAGGGGGTAGCTCATCCCTAGTGAAAATTCTTTCCGCTCAACTGTGTAGAACCGGTGGTTGGGTTTTTAACTAACTGGGAGTGATTTGCCATTGTTCTTGTATCAATTGTCTGGATTAGTCAAAGTTCGGCAACTGCAGCAGAGCTCTGCTTTCTTTCAGACCATTTTTTTTCACTTCTTTCTTTTTTTTTTTTTTTTTTTTTTTTTTTTTTTTTTTTTTTTTTTTTTTTTTTTTTTTTAAGTTTTCTGGTGGGCGGAGGAGAACATCATTGAGCTGACAGAGAGCAACAGCATTCTCATTGTGAGGACTTTTCTTCTCTTTTTTGTTGTGACCAGTTTTCGCTTCTCCTTCGTGGTGGGTACTATCTCTTCAAGAGTCTCGTGTACGAGAATCTCGTCCTTTCCTGAGCCCGGTCACGGCCAGTCGGTCATGATTTGTGTTCTGTCAAACAATGTCATTCCATCGTGATGGTTAATGCTGGCAGGCATTGCCCTCTATTAATGTATATGACGAAGTTGACGTGGGCCTGGAATGGGCCGTCTCTGTATTTGTGCACGCTTGGTGTTGGATTGTTGTTATGAAATGGCGTGTGATGTGCAAGGCTTTCTTTTCGGGATCGAGTATAGGAAGTGAGTCTAGTCAGAAAGTGCTCTTCTGGGGAGTGGGTGCATCGGACTTCTAGAAAGTGCAGCGAGTAATCGATTCGCTATGGAATAGCGAATGAGAGGTATAGGAGATTGCTTTGAACGTGTCTCTTGATGCTTCTTTGTTGGCTTGACAGCTGATGAATCTAAAACAGGAATCTAAAACAGGGAATGAGAAGTATAGGAGATTGCTCCGAACTATACATGCGGTGCATCACTTGCACGGGAGTTGGGCACGTCGGTGCATAGAGCGCATGCATGCGCGCGCACGTCATTGTAAGTACGGAAATTAGGGTCTATTTAATTAACAAATTCAAAAAGGGCAGGCTGTGGTAATCAAGTGTCTTTCCCTTGTGAAGATTTTACGTTCACAGAAGAAAAAAATTAAATCGGGCTGCTTCGTATTGCTATTTGGATCCAGCTTGTTTTCCAAAGGTCCTATATATCGAAATGCTGGTGGGACACGAGCAGGGCAGCAATACATACTGTGGATTCGAATTCAGGTCGGGTGTTCCAGCAGTTATCGATTTTTAACTTGCTACTAATAATGCAGTAGCTCTCCCTTTTTTGTGTTTTTTTTTCCGTACGTGTAATAATGCAGTAGCTCTCCCTTTTTTGTGTTTTTTTTCCGTACGTGTAGTGGACCTATGGGCCTCTCTCCAGTAGTTGCCACTTGCACAAAAGACAAACATTGGCAGTGCATGGTTCCAGTTTCTAGTAGAAGGTTCATGCTAGTTTTGCACTTTTGGCGAGAGGTGGAGTGAAGCCCAGAAAATCACTTGCCGAGTTAGTAAGTCAGTAACCCATAACTGCCGAAACATGCAACTGAATTTGAAGCACACGATTGTATACACATATCACGGTGGCTTTTCTTTCTTGTCTTTTTGTGTTCGTTTCCTCATTGTTTTCCTTCCGTACATGCGCCCAGCTGCCGAACCTGACAAACCAGCTTCCCACTGCGTATAACCTTTTTGCTCGGTCACGCTCAAGACTCACATTGTCCTTTTCCACTGCATAAGCGCAAGTATACGGACGGACAAGTCTTCAATTGTAGCAAAATCCCTCTTTCGTAACAATTGCGTAATTCAACCAGGTTCATCCTCTTTCACATACCATCCAAGCCGGGCTCTCCCACGGATGACCCCTGATCGCTTATGTTTCGTGTGCGGAAATACTGCACAACCCATTCCGGTCCCAACCCTTTTTCGAATTTCGCCCTTCTCCCCTACTCTCCCGGTTTTTACCATCCTGTCCTACAAACACAATCCGACCCATGAGGGCTGGTATGAATGCAAAATGCTTACCAGCTTGCATAGAATGAATTCATCATGCCAAGGAGTCCACTTGTTAACCATTTGTGTGTGATTGGGGACACCACCCCGCTTGAAGAAGAAACCATGGGATGATCCTGGTGTGAGGTGTGCGTAGAATGAATTCATCGTGACGTCCTCTATACACTTTCCCCGTATGCAGTGAAGAAAATGCTTCAATAACAGCGAAAACTTTATGGAGGACCTCTGCAGCGGTTCTTTTGGCTTAACGGGGGGCGGGGGGGGGGGGTTCTTTTGGTTCTTTTGGCTTATCCGGGGGTTCTTTTGGCTTAACGGGAGCTGAGCTCGAAACCCACCGAAAGGTCTTCGATATGCCGTAAGTGCTGTAGCCCTGTAACTGGTTCGATTTTTTTTTAGTGGTCAAAGTTGCATTGAGACTAGTATCGGCTTCTGAACGAGAAGATTGTTCGGGTCGAGGAAGATGCTCTGGATCCGAGTCTACATTTGGCGGTGACGGTCATGTAACTGGTCAGGTAACTGGACTCTAGGACGAAGATGAACCTGACCGTGAACACTGACATCGTACACATTGAGTTTTCCAACTCTCAATTTCGTATGCTACTGAATGGACGAAGTAGTGGATCTGGGGGGGTGTGCAGGTGTCAGATGTGTGGTAGTCAGATATGGGATAATGTTCTTGACAGCTTAGAACATTCTGTTGGAGTCTTTTTCTGGAGGACACCGACGCGTGAAGAACCTCGCATTCTAACAAGGTTATGGCCATTCCGTCAGGTCACTGGATTGAACCGTTTCTCTCCGTGTGCCAAGTGGGTACCAACGTATACCAAGAGATTCGATATTAAACCACCAGGAAGAGCCGCCTCTGAAACTGGCGGCACTCCGCATGCACGAATGTGGCTGGAAACAACCTCGGTTTGCCAGTTCTAAGTGCGCTGGTTGAAACACGGTTCCTTCCCCCACCTGGAAAACAAATTGCGCGGCATCTTTTGCGAGTTCAGGTGCGGGGACCGAAATGGCTGCCGGCGGCAGCTAAAATGACGGCAGTGCCGGTGTGTTCCTTGACACGAAGGGCCGATTGTAAGGTTAACATCGATAGGTAGACAGACAAAAAACATGCGAGCAGGTGATTCCGTTGATGGCAATCTGGGTAAGGTTGGTTTAAACTGTTTTTTTTTTGTTTTTTTACTTTTAACTGCCCAGCACACGCAGGGAGCAATGAACATGGGAGTATACATAATCGCGTTGCGATGGTATACTGACAAAATCAAGGACAAGGGAGGAGCGATGGTAGACTGACAAAATTAAGGACAAGGGGGAAGAGATGAGAGGAAGAAGAGGACGATACGAAACAGACAGTTAAAGCCAATCCGAGCACAGGAGCGGGTCTTAGTCAAAATCGAAAAAAGAAGCACATCAAGACGTGCGACAGTGCTGAAAAAAGAAATGTACCCTATGAAAAATTTGGAGACTCGGCTTACCTGACAACGATGGCTGGACACGAGGTGCAGGCAAGAAATACAGGACTACACGATGTGCTCCGAATGTATTTTTTCGACCGGAGGTATGAACTGACGTGTGGAATGTGGAACTTGGAACTTAATGGAAACGAAACTGGCAAACGGAAAACTGTATAGAGCTTTGAATGACAACGATGCCAATAGTGGACAAACATCTATTTGGCAGAGTCCCAGAGGAAAGACATCATCAATAGCTAGTAGAAGAGGAAGAGGGGGCGAGGAACGAGAAAGAGTGAAAGAGGGGCGGGAAAAGGACTCAGGACTCTGGACTGAAAGTCGATATCTTGGCATGGCAAGTCGAGGTGCTGCGGGGAGGGCTGCCAGGGTGACCTTGTATCACCACCGTGGCAATGGTCATTGTCAGCCAGGGTGGCAGGAGGATAAACCTCAGCTCAGCAATGGTGATTTAGCGATCACCACTGGGTTCACAGATTGGGAAGTACCTGTTTCCTCTTCGCAGTAGTGATGATGTCAGCCTCCTACTAGAAGGAATACCTGAAGGGTGTGCATTGTTGGGGAGGGGCTTGGAGTGGGGCAATGATGAGAGGGGAAGACCTGAAGAATTGCATTGCCTGAGGTGATTCCGTTTATGGCAATCTGGGCAAGAGGTTCCTGTTGAACGTGATCGAGGCCTGCACACGGGTGGTGGTGGTAATCAGCGAGAGAGGGGGGAAAGAATGTGGAGGAGGTTGTGGCGCAAGGACGAGGGCACTGACGGTAAGGGGATCAAGGACTGCAGGCCCTGGGTGAGAGGAGGAAAACAGGAGCGGCTGTTAAGGGAGAGAAGGACGGTGGTGTAGATGACATAGAAATATCGATTGCAATCCTTTCCTCCATTGTTGAAGAGAGAACGTTGACAGGATGTGCGAACAGGAGAGGAGAGAGAGAGGTGGAGGTAGGGGAGCGCAGGCGGCTGGGTGAAAACTCTATAGGTTTCACGTTCGCGCGAATGTGCTCGTGAACATGTTTGGCCAAACATAATTGTTTCTCATTAAAAAAAAAAAAAGAAGGTATTTTTTGGGTTTTTGATTTTTGACTCGTGATTGGCTACGAATTTCAACATGATTCCAAGGCAAAAGTTGCTTGCATTGTTGTTTTACATAACATATATACTTCTCAGATTTTCTGAGAAATGTTTTTTTTTTTAATTAATATTTTTTACTTTTGCATTGAAGGGTTTGGGGAGCTTGTTCACGTTCGCCTCCGAATGCGAACACGGTGCTACGTAGCATGATTGCTCGGGTTTCTAACGAAGAGTGTTTGGAGATAGCGGATATCCTCCTAACGGAAACATGAACCGAGCGCACGCGTAGGGAGAGAGAGAGAGAGAGATAAGAACATGAGCGCATGATCCTTTGTGTGTGGCTGTCCCCGTTGATGTGTGTGTGGCGCATCATTGTCTGTGTATGAGAATGAGACAGATGTTGAATCAAGGATATGAGTTGCGTGGTCTTCGTCCACGTGGGAAGCGCAAGCGAGATATTGCGCATTATAAGGTTCAGCAACAACAATTCTGCCATTTGCACACGTCTTTCTCTCTCTCTCTCTCTCCCTCTCCCGACTGCCCCTCATTTGTCTCTTCTTGCAAGTGCAGGAAAACATGCGCGCTGAACATTTTTCTACAGCCTCTTCAGCCGTATTAGTCAATTCTTTTTCCCCTTAGTCAAAGGTAGTGGTGGAGAAATAGTTGCAACAGGCTTCATGGAGGGTGAAAAGAGAGACAGAGGGGAAAACGTTTGTGTTTTTCAATAAGGCAAAGAACTCCCTTCAGATTGATGAGAAAAGGTAGAGTGCAGGGGAAAAGTCAAGTTTAGTCCAAACGGTCTGGATGGGCTGAAAGGTGCAGGCCTGGGCCGCACCACTTATAGGACCACAGCCAAGTACGGGTGTCTATCTTATGAAATTTCCCCAAACACTTGCAAAGCCCTCGTTAAAGAAAAGTTACCTTTCCAGCTACCATTCCAACCTAAAAGAATGACCGATATGACGACTGAGGAAAATGCCCAAGTTGAATAAATGCTTTCTCCTTGGATTGTGAATACCTCAAATGAGACAAATCCGCCGAAATCGGGAAGCCATCCTAAGAAAACTTGGGTGCCGCTGAATGTGAATCAGATATTTGTCATTTACTTTTGGCCTTAAGTGATGCACTGTACATTTTTTTGGAATGAGGATAGCCAATGATCATTACTAATCACCATTCATAATAATGATTTATAAAAAAAAGGAAGGAAGGAAAGAAAGATAAAAAAAAAAAAAGATGAGTGATAGTGTCGTTGATAATCACGCATCATAAAAAAATGACAATAATGTTGACGAGCATATCGACCTGGGTGTGCATTAAGGAAATATGCACGAGGGTCCGATTGGCCATGTTACGTTGGATGATGTTAAGTGTGAAAAAACAAGGATGGAAGTGTTGCTTCCAGCGAACGAGTCATCCATACCTCTCACATATTCCTATGAAAAATCAGGGTTGTGCAAGGTAGATCCTCCAAGAGTTGTCATTTTCCTTAG